GAACCCCTCAGAGGGGGGAACATCTGAGTGCCCTTTAAGTAATTAATTAATTATTCATTCATTTAAGTGAGCTTGAACTCACGACCCTGAGATCAAGAGACGCATGCTCTATGGACGGAGCCCACCAGGTGCCCCTGAGTGCCCTTTGAAACCCGCCAGACCAAGTGCCCAGTCCCCTGGCCATCCAGGTGAAGTGTTCCTTAGTGGCCAGCAGCTGCCAGGGCCCCCCAGAGTTCCTGTGGTTTCCTCTGAGCTCTATACTGCAGCACATTGTGTCCCAGAAGGCACTACAGTCTCCTTCTGCGCCGTCTGAGGGTTGCCCAGAGGTACGGAGTGGGAGGCTGCCTCCACCCTTTTCTTCCTACTCACCCCACGGGTACAGGCTGCCCCGGCAGGCCTCCCGACTTCAGAAACCTGCAGCCTGAGACCAGTGTCTGCCTCCTGTATACAGGCGCGCTGGCTCCCTGGCTCCCGGAGAAGGGGTTATAGCATAAGAAGGGGCAAATGGAATCAATTAGGGCTCCTGCCCCTTATCAACAGAGGAAGTAAAATGTGATAGGGGCTGAAACAGGCTCTCCAGCCGGGGCCGCTCCCGGGCTAGTTCACTCTGCACCTTGGCCCTTATCATCGGGCGGATGCCACAGTGGCCCCGAATGTTGGGGGTACACCAGGAAGCTCTATGCGGCCTGTGACAAGCCCTAGCAGGAGAATCACGGCAGAGCGCTAGGATGTAATAAATAATATGAACCAGCAACCAACATACAGTGCTGTTTCTCCCACTGCCAAGATTTGCAAGCCTGGGAAAGAGGGGTGGGAATCAAGGAAGGGCTTCTCGTCATTGTGCCTGAGCCATCGGCAAGTTTGACTTCTCATTCCTGCTACTCTGCTGGTTTCGAGGTTTTAGTTCCCCAGAAGAAACACATCCAGTATGGTCTGAGACCGTGGTTCCACTGAATTGGAAACCACTGTGAGCTCCTGGAGTCACTCAAAACAGGTGATCACGGTGTTCATGCTATAGAATGAGGACAAGCGAGAATATGAACGAGACCCAGGAGATTCCCCCAAGAGGCCTTCTTCACTACAAGCCCGAGGGGGCACAGAACAGAGGCTTGTGACCCTATAGAGGACCATCAAGGGCTCAGACTCTTCAGGAAGAAAGACCAGAGCATCCCAAGGAGGAAAGGCAAAAAACCAAAACAAACAAAAAACAAAACAAACAAACAAAAAATCACGCGGGGTTGATAGAGAAGTTGCAAACGGACAGGACCACCTCCTGGCTTTTGCAGAAATCAGGACTATACCCTCCACCTGTGCTTCCCGGCTGATTGCTTTTTCAACTCTCTCACCTCTTCTTTAGTATTGTAAATAGGATAGCGTGGTGGTGATGAATTCACCCTTTAGGTCATGGTATTGCAGAATGTCAATATCAAGTTGGGATAAGGGCAGAGCTAGAGAAATAAGGGTCATCACTGGGAGAACTTGAACTATAAACAGAGGCTCCAACACCTCACCTCCAGCTAGGATAGTTGGGAATGTTTGTATGCATAGTTCTTGGTTGTATGTCGGGTAATTAAGTTATGCTGAGAGGAAGTGTTTTTAGAATCCTATAAATGTTAGAAGGGTGTTTGTACATGTTAGAAATTTAAGGAGTACAAGGTTATAACCCTCTACATTACTTTTCTATCTACTTAATATCCCCACCTTTTGGGAACTGCCAGAAATCACCGGGATTCACTATTCCAGGCCACAGCAGTATTTGGGGTAGAAATACAGGTGACAGAAAGACATTAGCATCTGGCAAAGCCCCGAAATATTGGATATCCTTGCTTGTCCTGGGGCCTTCACCTTTGAAGACTTTGGTCAGCTTGCCCAGAGTCATTCAGATCCTTCGGTTCAACAAAATTTGGCTTATGAACCTGACCTTCAGGTTCTCAAGCCATTTTCGGGAAAGATTTGAAGTGAGGTTCTCAGATTTGCAGTAGAAACACCCAAAAGGAGACTTCTGGTAAGTCATGTCTTAGAAGACAAAGTTTACAAGTCTCCCACCACCTCTACCCATGTCTTGGGGACAAGGATTCTAGAGAATCTCTTTGAGATGCTAGAGAAGGGTGTCAATGCCAGTAGTCATTCAGGTGACCGGAACCAGTCTTGAGTCTGAAGGCAGTCACAGAACCGTGTCCAAGGAAGGGGGTCAAGGGTGACACAGAAGGCCCAGGCGGAGAAATCCTGGGCCTGGAATCTGCATTTGTGTCTGTAAAGTCAGATGTTTGGTCAAGTCGGGAGAGGCCCTGGAAGGGGGAAATGATAGAGTCAAGGTAGGAAATATTTAGCATGGACGGGAGGAGCTCCTACCCGTCCAGTGCTTTCGGAGGATTGCGTAGGGGAGTGTGAGTTAAAGGATATCTTCTCTTGCTCTAGGGTAGTATTAGCTGTGCTCATGAGAACTGTATCTCACTACAATAAGTCAGTGTAAACCTTGCCAGAGATATTCAGCTCTCGAAGGTCAGATGAGCATGGAAGAGAACAGGTTAATAAACCTGAGAATGCTGTAGTTACACTGGCTGTCTTTTGTGTTTTTTGTTGTTTTTTTGGTTTTGGGGTTTTTTTGGCTGCGGGTTGAGAAAAGTTATCCTGTGGTGAATTAGGGGAAATGATTGGAAAAGTGAAACACAAAACAAAAAGCCTTGTACTCTTTGCAGTTTAAAAGTTTTAAACTGTAATCTTTAAAAAAAGAAAGAGGACTCTGTTTCAAGCTTGCTTCCCGGTACAGGCAGGCAATTGAGGGGGAGGTGAAGAGCTTTTCTGGCATCTGCTGGGTTCTGACTGCTTTTGACTCAAAGTCAAGGTCATGCCAAAGCAGCTCCTCTCAGGGTGGCCTGCCCTGCACCCCCACACTGACGTGGGACATCTGGTTTATTCCACCGCTTGCTCTTACGACCGATACTAAAATGTAAGCACCTCGTTGAAGTGTCCATCAGTGTTCAGTCTGATCTCGTGGATCCATGGAATCGAAAAAGGCCAAACCCACAGAAACAGAGGAGGATGGGGGCTAGGGGCAGTGAGGAGATGTTAGTCCAAAGGTACAAACTCCCAGTTAGAAGACAAACAAAACTTAGGGGATTTAAGACACAGCATTGTGATCCTAGTTAATATTCTATTATATACTTGAAAGTTGCTAAGAGCAGAATCTTGACTGTTTTCACCACAAGAAACAGTAATTACGTGATGTGAGAGGTCAGCAAAGGCTGGGGGCAATCCCACTGCAGTGTAGAAGTGAATCAAACCAACACACTGGGCAGCTTCTGTTTACACAACGTGATATGTCACTTATGCCTCAATAAACCTGGAAAACAGTTTGGAAAAATCTCAAGTTTTATAAAATAAATCTTTTTTTTTAACCTTAAATTCCTTGCTGCAGAAATTTGCTCACGCAGTTTCAGGGAGTGAGGAAGCTCTGGGCTTTAAAAGCTTTTCCTTGGAGTCTAATGTTTGCATGGAAAGCAAGGGAATCATATTCCGTGGGATCATTCAGGAACATTTTAGGATACACGTGCACATACAGGGCTGCACAAAGGTAGGAAGGCAGAATCTCTCTGGCCTTCTGGGGCGACTCCCGGCCCCCCCTCCCCAAAATGTCCTCCTAACTGTAGTCAGTACAGTTTTTAAGAACTTTTAATTTTTAATCAAAGCAATACATACATAGTTTGCAAAAAATCCAAGAGTGAAAAAAAGGCATATAATGAAAAGTAGTAAATCCCTGTCCATCCTGCTCAACGCAGTTCCCCAAACCAGAGGCAAAACCGTTTACACCTGTTTAGTGGTTACCTCCTTTCTTAAGAATATGCTTTTATTACTACTTTTTTGATTTGATAACAGAAGGAATTCTGACTTCCTGCTTTCCCAGTACCCCCCTCCCCCCTTCACTATGGCTGAAGCACTATTTTTAAATCTCCTGTTGGCTACCTTGTTTGCTTTAATAATCGGATCCCTAAACCTGCCTTATTCTTTCAACTAGAGACAATCTGGACTTCCTGCTTCGTGAGAATAACGCCACCGCTCCATTTCCTCCTGTCTGCCCACTGTCCAAGAGAGGCTAACCTTCCCATCCGGTCTTACCACCGTCGTGAAGCCTTCCCTGCTTAGCTGACAGATTTGGTCTAGAGACGGAAAACCGTAACTTCTGTTTCCATCGGAATGATTATTCAACGGTTCTCTGCAGAGCTGAGCTGCACGGGATGACTGGTCTCTGCGAGCGCCGCACGCGCCCATCCGTGTTCGAGCTGATTCCCTTTCTCCCACTCCTGGCAGTTGTTCAAAACCCGGCCGCGTCTGAGGTTGCTCCCTTTCGAAGCCTGCTTTCCTTGCACAGTTTGAAATGTTTGTTTTGCCCTGTAGTTTCTGTTCGCCATTGACTCGGTTTGGGGGATGAAGCCATGTCTGCCATCAAGTTATTAATTCCCTCCAGCTTCTATCTCAATCCATCTAATGGCTTGGAATTCATTCCATCCAGCTGGAAGTCTGTTCACATCTTATTCTAATTTGGGAGATTTGCTTTCCCAATTGGGCCGTTGTTGCACAGTTAGTTTATCTCTCGGTCGTTAGCAATCTTTCCTCTCGTTCCCCCCCCACCCCCACCCCGCCCCCGGGCATCCTGGGACCACCGTCGCTTCCTCTCGTTCGCGCTGTCTGGGGTTTTACGGCTGCAAGAACGTCGCAAGTATTTCTGAGGATTTTCAGAGTTTAAAGTTCTTTCCTGCTCCTTGAACTATTTCCTAGAGAATCACCCTTTCATTCTGTCTTCGGGTTTTTTGGTTATGCTGTAGGCTTTCTGCAAACGATGATTTCTAGCCGCCCATGGACAGGGAAAGATAAGGCGGTGGGAAGGCAGCCCGGCGAGTCGGCTGCGCGACTCTACTGGCCGCTGTGCTCCAGAGCGGGGGAGCCGGGGGTGGAAGCCAGCCATCCTTCCGAGACCCCCGAATGCCACAAAGTCAGTTGCCCTAAATGTGTACCTGCAGGCGGACGTTGAGGATCACCGAGGCCACCACGTAGAAGTAGGGGAAGTTGGTGCGCAGCCGCCAGGCCAGGTCGAAGAAGGTGATCAGCGTGCGCGTGAGCCCCTTGCAGAAGGCGCCGTACGAGCCGCGGGCCGCCGCCGACCGCGACAGCCGCACCCCCAGGGCCGACAGGGCCGCCGCCGCCGCCGCCGACAGGGCCGCCATCGGTCTGGTGTCGCCTCCCAGAGGGTGCCGGGAGCCAGGGGCTAGAAGCAAGCTGCGCCGACCCACCGATCGACGGACCGAGAAACGCGCGCGGGGGCAGTTGGTGCGGAGGGCCCACCGGGCAGCCGCAGATGCCAGCCGCGCTGCACCGCGAACACCCTCCTTCCCAGCCGCAGCGATCGGCGATCTGCGGTGGCCGGTGCTGCGCCGGGGCCGCAAGGCTGAGCTGCCTTGGGGTGGGCGGGGCGCCGGAGCTCGCGAGCCCCGGGACGGGGAAGGGAGGGGGGCCGGGGGGGGGGGTGGGGACCGGAGGCTGGGGGCAGGGGGAGGGGGGGGAAGGGGGAGGGGAAGGGGAGGAGGAGGAGGAGGGAGGAGAGGGAGAGGGGCACGTGCCTTTCCCGGGAGACGCAGCTTCCTCCTCTCCGTGGTCCTTTTTTTTTTTTTAATGTTTTAAATTTTAACGGAAGCAAAACGAAACTTGCACAAAACGTTAGAAGAGTGCCTTCGTAAACATGATCTTCAATAGCTGAGAAGTGTGAACCCGTTTCCTGTTGCCTCAAATCCCTGTAGGAATTTTTTCAATCCTCAACTGTGAGCAAGTACGAACACACAAAACCTAATTCATTTTCTC